CGGGCTGGATGGCTTGGGTGCTTGTGAGACACTGGTAGCTGCACAATTGGAGGGTGTGCTCCACGTACAGAATCACTGCTATGTTGTCGAAAATGTGATCGATGTGAAGAAGGTTGACGTACAATAGCAGGATTTTGATGTAGTCGGTCCTGAAAGAGAGACGCCACATCATGATCATCAGGGTCCACATGAAGTGGAGTTTGAGCATCGCTCTCTTCAGTAGGTTCATGTCGGATGACTGTCAAAGTGATGGCAAGACCATGACGAACAATCAAATCATCATCCATGCCAATCTCCTGTTGACGACACCAAATCTGGCATTGATTGTGCGGCATGTGCGGAGGGCAGTAAAAACGATAGCCCATCAGTGCGACCAACTCTGGTCCAGAGGGATCCATGGATGAACGCAATGCCCATCTGCGCGGATGACCATTCCAAATCTGCTGCTGCGACAGTCTGCGCGAGAACGTTGAACCAGAATCAAGTGCCCTGCAACGTGTTCAACTTCATCTGTGAGATCAGGATCAACCATGTAAATCTCTGTGTCTACAAAAGGATCCAATCGATCAGGCCAAGTCAGCAGGCCAGTTGGGCGAGTCAGCAAAAAGAGAAACATCACGTGGTGTGTCACATACAGGCCAGCGAGTCATTGTACCACGTCTTCACCACAATACAGGGCTCAACATCACCTGGACCTGGTCGAACAAAAAGGTTCCATCGCTGAAGAAGATCAGCTGTGAAGTCATTGTTCAGTGGCACAAAAGGAGTGGCAATGCGTGGCAAATGCAAATCTTCGCTGGAATCAAGGTGACATCTATCAGATGAGTCATCTTCTCGATGATGTTGTCGAGGTCGTGCAGAAGTCATCAAGCGTGATCGAGTTTGTATCAAGGCATCGATGAAGATGACGTCGACGTGGAGCTGAGGTCATTTGCAGTCACCATATAGTATTGTGTTGGCATAGGATCTAGATCCTGATCGACATCAGAGACCCAGTAAAACGCTTCCAAGTCATCAGCATGCACACCCATCTGTAGCATCCGAGCGATGCAACGTGTTGGCACGTTTCGAAGAACTGTCAGAGGCGGTGGCAGCGCAATATGCACAAAATCTCCATGACAAAGTTGAACAGGTTGGCAATCATCCTGTCGGACCGAAAGATGATTCAGCCAGACCAAAGATGTGTCCTGAACAAATTGAGAGTACTGGAAGACGTCAAGAGCACGTAGTAATTAGTTGATGTCGTGTCAACATTGGGGGAACAAAAAGAGGACATCTCACCCTTTCAGTGTCCCAACTTGGTGCTGCTGGATGGAACTCAACATCCGCAAGGATGTAAACAAGATCTTATGTTGGTGGAAGATCATCTCGGTGCTGCGCCAGGTAAACATGAAAATGGGATAGATCATGTGGTAAGTTCATGTAAATTCCACTTGATGAACATCGTGAGGATCTGAAAATGCAATCTGCGCAATCCTGGCCACATTGCGTAGAAGTACATGGCGATACATACAGTTGACAACTCCTTCTGCTGGAGGATGATGGACAGAAAAGACCATGCCATCTCGCCATACCATGTCCTCCTCCTCTTCTGAAGTGGTGTCATCGGTGACATCATCTGCATGGTCGGTGTCTTGACGAACCGCAGCAGGTTGATCAAAAATGGCTGGAGGTGGAGTGGATGGATGTTGTGGCGGACCTGCAGCCATCAGCGAGTTAAAGTCAACCGCATCTTCAGTTTCATCAAAGTGATGGTCGAAATCAGGTGACCGCTTCGAGATCAACGTAGTCGGACTTGACAACGGCTCTGCAAAAAGGGCACCATGGTGAGTCTCAGAGGTATTGATTGACTTTGAGCAAAATTCCTGTTACTTCGCAACAGGGTGATAGTCAGAGTCAATAGGTTTCGCCAAATTGGAATCCAAGCTTTGGCAACCTTGTCATACTCGACATCAAAAATGCCATTGTTCAGCGCATCACAGAGAAGCAGCGCCTTACTCTGCGCATCCCACACGCTACAGAAGTCAGGTTCATCAAAAACTTAGTGCGGCTGAATGGCATCACAAAGATCTGTCCACGTAGCTGCAACTACGTAGTCATCAGACTCAGACCAAAACTGACAGTTGCCTTGGAGTGCAGGAGTTGAAGGGTCATCGAACTCAACTGTAGGTCAAAATGCAAGCTGACAGAAACGATCACGACTGCGCCTCATGGCCCTACTCTCTGTTGGAGAACACACAGAAGAGGCCTCTATGTCAGACACTCGGAGACATGAGGCTAATTGGAATCCCGAAGTACGTTTGTCTCCGGGTTCCACAATCTCGACATCTTCTTGATCTGCTGGACGCGGCGGCGTGAGACGATGTCTTTTGGAAGACTTCTCCTCGATGGTGTCCTTGACTTGCTTGACGACGCCAGTCAATTCGGCCTTGAGCTGGGCAAAGTTGCTCTCCACCTCTGATCCATCTGGTTCGTCGAACAGTTTCATAGTGGCATCCAAAGCCTCTTGAGCAGTCTCTACTTGAGCACCTTCCAAGGAGCTGCCTTCTTCCATAGTTCTCATGTGGGTCTCGTGCAATCGAGCTCGGGTTTGTTGCAGATGTTGCAGGGCTTCTTGTCTCTTCTCCGCAAACTTGCTCTCGCCGTGCTCGAAGGCCTCCACATGTGACAACCACATCTGCGAAGCTTTGTCGATGTATGTAGCCCACTGAACTCGGTAGGCCTCCCACTGCTCGTCCAAATCGGCAAGCTTCTTGCGAGCAGCTTTCAAAAGATCGACCAGCTGCCTGTGAGATTTCGCATCTTCCTTCCGCAAGGTTGCTTCGGCTGAAGCGAGAACCACCTTGATGTCCTCCGGAAGATTGGGTTTCCCTTTCAAATCCTTGTACATTTTCCGCAGTGAGTTCAACTCCGTCTCGTCCTTGTCGCCCTTGGGCTTGGGAAATGGTTGCATTGAAGGCAATGCAGTTGCACTCTGCGAACTGTGGAAGGTTCCGTTGCAGAAGGATCCATGTGCGAAGGAAGAGCTGGCGGCGCAAGCCATTGCGTAGATGGAGGCATATGTGCCAAGGGCTCTTTGCCTTTGCCCTTTCCTTTGAGCTCTTCTTGCTGTGGATGTTGTTGCCGAGATCGCGATTGGGGCCGGTGTTGTCGAGGACTCTGCGTGCGCTTTCGTGGGGTCCAGCCACTTGCATAGCCTGCTTCTTGTGCTCGTCGATGGGGCTGATGGACATAGGAATCGTCGTGGCAATGGGCCCAGTAGCGATAGCATCGACCGCATTGCCCAACCGTGCCTTTCACCATCCTCATGCAAAAGCGACAGCGCCATGGATCGGGCTTGTACTCCATGATGGCACGAACTGCTCCAATACGAGACAAAAACTTCACGTCCCTGGAGTGGTGCTGATTCAATAGCCGCCCAATGGTTCGAAGGCGAGGGATGGACAAACGACGATAGCCTCGACGATGTAGATACCAATCTGCGCGCGCCCTTGCTCGCTGTCTGCGCAAATTCCTCCTCTGTGTAGGAGTTATACTGACCAAAGATGATATAGAAGGTCACAAAAAATGTCCAAAATCGCATCAACGCCAAGCCAAAAACCAGAGATCAGCTTGCCGCCCCAGCGTGCAGAGATCAATCCAGAATATGAAGACGATGAAGAGGGAAAGGGGCAAAAAGTGACGCTGATCAAGGTGATATCACCGTCCTGCCCAGGGAGCGTGACAGAGCGAAGAAATGCCTGGTGGTGCCACGTTCAGTCAGCGCAGGAACGGGCAGAGCACGTTGCGTAGGTTCCCAAAAGATCCAAAAGCAAGAACCCGCGGGTGTCGGCAAAGGACTCGCTTAGGTTTATGGCGAAAGAGGGGATCTTTAAACGGATCCAAAACCCTCCTTAAGCATCCCCGTTGAAATTTCCACTATGATTTGGTAGGCCTTGAGGCCCTTATAAACTGGATTTCATGGGGCCATTTTATAGTGAAATTAGGTCAAATACACTACCATTTTATAGTAAACCACCTCAAACACCCCTGAAAGTTATAGACCGGTATTTTTTGTAGATAAAACCTTGCCATATTGTAAGAATATGATGAGATATCCAAGAGCCATTTTGTAAAGAGATATGTAGATATACACCACTCATTCAAGTATGTTTTGGCCAAGTTCACACATGTATACATATGCCATTTTGTAGAGTCCCACATTTTGTTTCTGAGCCCACCATCTTGCCTGACACGGTTTACATCAGCCGGACTGGAAAGTGTTTTCACTTGAGAAGTTCTTGTTCAAAGAACGAAATGGTGTCATATAAATTGTGCTTGCTTTGCAAGAAGCATCACTGTCAAAAGGACGGTTGATGCCTACAAAAAGGTATCTTTCTACATAATGAAGGGCATGAGAAAAGCATGTCTGCGCATTATCAATTGTTTCTGAGCCTTCAGGGGTACACCCTATCTTTGGTGAAGCTGGTTCAGTGGTGAAAATTTGGCTTCTACAAAATGCTATTGCTTTTTGGGGCATCAAGGTTCAGATTGTGCCCTACCATTTTGTATCCAAGCAAATTCTTGGTGCCCATCCATTTTGTAGGCTTTTTTCAATGCCCCCCATTCTGTGTCTATAAAGGGGGGGGTCTGACCCCATGAGGCTAATTTCAACGGGGATCCTTAAGCCAAAACCTTAAATAAATGAAAAATAACGAAAATAATCTTCCAAACAATTTGTTGGCGGTTCTGGAAGTAGTTAACAGGAGCGTAATTACATCAAGACCGTCAAGTAACGCATCATTTAGGAGCTTCCCCAGTCAAAGCGCTCATTTGGGTTGACAAGGATGCACGTATTGTATGCGTGACCTCTTTCTTACACAACTTTCGGAAGATTTCGGAAGATAGGTGGTTCTGGGAGACATGTAACTTTTGAAGTTTGGACCATTTTCCACCTTTTTGGTGTATCATGTATCATTATATCACGGATTTTCTGGGCATTTGGTGGGACACGAACTCAGGTTACACGCACGACTGGTTCGGCACCCGGCACTTTGACATCATCCACTGCAACAGCTCCAGCTGAGATGGCCAGGATCAACATTGGTTTGACATCTCCGCATCAGACTCCAGGATTTTTATGTTTTGACCGAAGCGCCAGATGCGTTTGGATTTCTTTGCATGAAAACTTAAATGTCCGAGTGATGAGAAGAATAATCTTCCACCAAGTTTGAGTCTTGAGTGATGGCATGTTCAGCTGGTAGAGCAGGATGATGTTCTCCGCACCAAGTTTGATGTGGGGACACTGGCAAAGCCATGCAAGCCGCAAGCCCGTTTAGAAGCCTCCAGCAGAAATGCATGGAAAAAAGCTCATCAAGCTGCGGTTGTGTGGAATCTAGATTCTACATTATTCTACTAGATGTTCCATGGTTATGCTCCTTTGATACTGTAATAGCTTGGAGGCCTTTCCCAGCTGAAGATCATCCAAGTGGTTTGGAAAGGGGGAAACCGCAAGCAGGTTCCCCTAGATGCATCACAGGTTTACTGTTGATCACCGTTGCTGCTTCTCAGGTTTCAAACTCATCCCCTCCCTCTCCAAGCCACTGGATTCTAGTGACTTACTGATGTTTCGTTTTTCCGGTTGTTGAGTAGTTTGACGGACAATACAAGCATGCCTGTCGCTACCTGTCAGCTTTCCCGGCTCAGTTCAGGTTCGGAACTTCTCGATGCTTCGCGCCAAAGCACTCTTTGGGCAGCACTGCGTTGGTCCAGAGCCACAGTTGGGCCCAAATCAGCGGGATGCCATTGCCTGTGCATTGCCTGTGCTGCTGTTTACCCATGGGTCAATGCTGAGCCAATGCTGAGGTGCTGGTTTCAAGCTGGTCTACACATTGGCTCTGCCTGGCCGAAGGCGCAAGTCCAGGCAGGATTGCGAATATCCACCACGGCGCTGTGCTTAATTTTGAGGAATCATATTCAGCGCAGCAATGAATGTGGTTCGCATCGTCAGTTCCAATTTTGCATTATGACACAATGGTACCTCTACAGCCTCTACTTCAATTCTTTTTGAACCGCAATGTTGCCACAGGGCGAACGGATTGCCAATTCTGTCGCCAGCCATGAGCCAAGAATGGGGTGAGGCGAGGAACTAGTGCAGTCCCGCATGGGTTGCCACATGCCACGATATGTCTCGACCGCTCAAGACAGCTCAGCTGTTTGATCACAGTTGGAGCCGGTCTTAGAACTCCCTCCTTTGATCTCCACTGGCTACTGAGTCTCCATTTGACATGTCGCATCTCCCTGGACCGACCAGGGCGACTTCAATACTGAGTTTGCCGAGAACCCGCCAGAAGAGAGCTTGGGATCTCATCACGGCAGAATTCGGTCATTTGTGATGGAGTGCAAGCACAGTGCAAGCACAGTGCAAGCACAGTGCAAGCACAGTGCAAGCACAGTGCAACTTCATTTGAGGACATCATGATATATCATGGGTACACAACAGCAAAGGGCGATTGAATTGGATGTAGCAACGAGCCAATTTATTCTGCAATAATGTCACCTTGAGCCAAGCATCAGGTTCATCGGCCTTCGAGTTTGCCAAGCTCTTTGTGACATCCTCGTTGCAAGATCAACTCACCAATATCTCACCATGGTTTGTTGAGATGTCAAGTTTCGTCAGTGGCTACGACTTTATCGGTTTCACCTCCCAGATGACTCCCGAATCTTGAAGGGACCTACAACATCATTCAATGACAAGAATGGTATAGAATGTGAATGATGGCTAATGACGAACCATTAGTTTGGAATGGAAAAACCAGCCTCCCGCTCTCTTTTGAATGTGACAGTTTTGCTGGCCACATGGCCACCCAGACCTCCCATTCAGGTGATCCACTTTTTGGGTCCCGAGCAATCCCTGCCAATCGCTTCAGCATCCAAGGTGCATGTGTGGCGCATGTTGCACAATAGCTTGATTAATTTAGTGACCACAATGTCTTTCATTCCATTCTTGATACGTAATGTCCATTGCCCCTGGGTGGGTACAATGCGGACATATGACCTGTCAGAAACTCGACCGCTTCGCGCCTGCAACACGATGCCAGGCGTGTTACCGAGCCTCGCGCATGCCGTCAGATGCCTCAGCATCGGTCTCCGTTTTGCGCAGATTTGGGTTCCTGCAGAGACTCATCGGCTCCGCCATCTCAGCTGACCCTTTTATTTCACGCAGGTGAGTTGCCATGCGTACGTTGGGCTTCAAATTTAGTGCTTTGTGCTTGGGAAACAAGATGAAGCCCACGAACCCGAATGCTCGCACGTATGTTAATGGTACAGATGTCAAAACACATGGTTATGCAGTCATGCACAATACCTTTCTGCAATAGTTTATTTGAACAGTCTTGTACATGTTTCCCTTGTTACCAGTCTGCAGTGTGGAGTGGAAAGTGTGGAGTGTGGAGTGTAAAGTGTGGACTGAGGAGCGTAGAGTGGGGAGTGTAGAGTGTGTAAAGTGTAGAATGCGGAGTGTAAAGTGTAGAGTGTGGAGTATGGAGTGTACAGTGTAGAGTGTGGAGTGTAGAGTGTGGAGTGAGGAGTGTAAAGTGCAAAGTGTGGAGTGTGGAGTGTAAAGTGTAAAGTGAGGAGTGTAAAGTGTGGAGTGTGGAGTGTGGAGTGTAAAGTGAGGAGTGCAAAGTGTGGAGTGAGGAGTGTGGAGTTTCTAAATTGTAGAGTGTGAAGTGTAGAGTGTGAAGTGCAGGGTGTAAAGTGTAGAGTGTGGAGTGTAGAGTGTAGCGTGTGGAGTGTGGAGTGGAAAGTGTAGAGTGCGGTGCGTAGATTGTGGAGTGTGGAGTGTAAAGTGTGGAGTGTAGAGTGTGGAGTGTAAAGTGTAGAGTGTGGAGTGTGGCGTGTAAAGTGTAAAGTGTGGAGTGAGGAGTGTAAAGTGGAAACCGTGGAGTGTAGAGTGTAAAGTGTGGAGTGTAAAGTGTAAAGTGTGGAGTGTAGAGTGTATGGTGTAGAGTGTAAAGTGTAGAGTGTGGAGTGTGGAATCTAAAGTGTGGAGTGTACAGTGTAGAGTGTGGAGTGTAAGGTGTGGAGTGAGGAGTGTAAAGTGTGGAGTGTGGAGTGTAAAGTGTGGAGTGTGGAGTGTGGAGTGGAAAGTGTAGAGTGCGGTGCGTAGATTGTGGAGTGCGGAGTGTAAAGTGTGGAGTGTAAAGTGTAGAGTGTGGCGTGTAAAGTGTGGAGTGAGGAGTGTAAAGTGGAAACCGTGGAGTGTAGAGTGTAAAGTGTGGAGTGTAAAGTGTAAAGTGTGGAGTGTAGAGTGTATGGTGTAGAGTGTAAAGTGTAGAGTGTGGAGTGTGGAATGTAAAGCTGTAAAGTGTGGAGTGTAAAGTGTAGAGTGTGGAGTGTAAGGTGTGGAGTGAGGAGTGTAAAGTGTGGAGTGTGGAGTGCAAAGTGTGGAGTGTGGAGTGTGAAGTGTGGAGTGTGGAGTTGAAAGTGTGGAGTGTGAAGTGTGGAGTGTAAAGTGTGGAGTGTGGAGTGCAAAGTGAGGAGTGTGGAGTGAGGAGTGTAAAGTGCGGAGTGAGGAGTGTAAATGGTGGAGTGTAAAGGGTGGAGTGTAAAGTGTGGAGTGCGGAGTGTACAGTAAAGTGTGGAGTGTGGAGTGCGGAGTGTGGAGTGGAAAGTGTAGAGTGTGGAGTGTAAAGTGGGGAGTGTAGAGTGTGGAGTGAGGACTGTAAAGTGTGGCGTGCGGAGTGTAAAGTGTAGAGTGTGGAGTGTGAAATGTGGAGTGGAAAGTGTAGAGTGTGGTTTGTAGAGTGTGGAGTGAGGAGTGTAAAATGTAAAGTTTGGAGTGTAGAGTGTAAAGTGTAGAGTGTGGAGTGTGGAGTGTAGAGTGTAAAGTGTAGAGTGTAAAGTGTAGAGTGTGGAGTGTAGAGTGTAAAGTGACGAGTGTAAAGTGTGGAGTGAGGAGTGTAAAATGTGGAGTGTAAAGTGTTGAGTGTGGAGTGTGGAGTGGAAAGTGTGGAGTGTGAAGTGTGGAGTGTAAAGTAAGGAGTGTGTAGTGTAAAGTGTAGAGTGCGGAGTGAGGAGTGGAAAGTGTAGAGTGTAGTGTAAAGTGTGGAGTGTGGAGTGCGGAGCTTCCCCCATAGACACGGCGACGCCACAGGAAAACCAGAGACTCGAGACGAGACACGTGGGTGCAAAAAAAAACGAGCATTTCGTGCGAGACTTCCGCCAATTTTGACATTTTTGGCACATTATCAAACAGGTTGGAATGTCACAAAGTGCCACGCCTGCCACGCAAAACGACATGACAACCTGCTTGGACACATTCTAATAGGAGAGGTTTTCCAGCTTCGCCCATAGACACGGCGACGCCACAGGAAAACCAGCGACTCGAGACAAGACACGTGGATGGGATGCAGAAAAACCAGCATTTCGTACGAGACTTCCGGCAATTTTCACAGTTGGCAACATGACAAAAGGACAGGTTTTGCAGCTTCCCCCATAGACACGGCGAAGCCACGGGAAAACCAGAGACTCGAGACGAGACACGTGGGAGCACCAAAACAAGCATTTCGTGCGAGACTTCCTCCAATTTTCACACTTTGTAGCTTCAAAATCGACGGTTTCCTACGAGTTTTCCTAGGAACCTCTAAATTTTGCAACCTCAAAATTGATGTTTTGTGCGAGGCTTCTGTCAATTTTCAGCATATGTCACAAAATGCCACGTTTGCCACGGAACTTGCACCTTGTCGCCACTTGACGCAGCCCTGCCAATGCGATTTGCAAAAAACACCCAACACGACACGTCCAAAGTGCTGCGCCTGCCACGAAAAACGGCGATGGACACGTTCAAAATGCTGCGCCTGCCACGAAAACTGCCACGCATCTTCTGAAAACGTCGCAAAAGTATTGCGCCTGCCACACACAACGACTTTCGACGCGTTACAGAACACGTCTGAATGTCACAAAGCGCCACGCCTACCACGCGAAACGAAGCAACGAAACGTTGGAAACATCCAAAAACGACACCTCCTGCAGAACTTACCATAGGCACGGCCATACGGGGATCGCACGAACGGTTGCGAACGGCTGCGAACGGTTGCGAACGTGAACGCAACGTCGAGCGAACACACCCTCAAACCCCAGACCCCCAGAGTGAAACGGGAACCCTTGCTACGCATTCGGGAAAAAATGGAAAAAACTATGGAGGCCTTCTTTTCGAAACGCATTCTCTCCATGTGTTTTGGCACGATGGCCTGAAAGATCCTTTGAAGATTCGTAAGGCCAGTTTTGAAAGCCGTTCACCTGATGATTCCGGGAGTGCAATTTCTCGAGGAAGAAAAATTTATTCATTGACTCCTTGATTCAGTGGTTCATCGGTTTAATCCTTCATTCATTTATTCATTCAGTCAGTCAGTCAGTCAGTCCGGCAGTCAGTCAGTAAGTCTTTCATTCATTCATTCACTCAGTCATTTGTGCACCGCTTCTTTCAGGTCATTGATGCTCATTTGCTCATTCGTAGATGCGCACCACAACCTCAATCGGTCGTTGCTTCTGTATTTCACAGACATCCCTATAGGCCATTGATTTCTTATACGTAGTTGTTTTTTTAAGAAACTTCCGTCCCGGCCCTGTTAATGTAATGTTTATGTGATGTATAGAGATATGTTTGCAAAAGTTCCGTGATGTTTCGTGGGAGGGCGAATGCGAAAGTGCATTTTGAATGGACCGCCAGTAGATCCACTAAGCCTTTCCCCTGTTGGTTGTGCTTGCGGCTGTCATTTCCACGGTTGTTGCTTCTGAAGCTGCTGCATTCATAGATTGGCTCCCAACATGTAGATAATGAATCTCCATGAAACACACAATAGCAAAATTATCTTAACATCCAGGTCCTGGTTTGGACGTGTTTTTTTTTCCTGGTCAAACTCTTGCACTCCGTTGGATAGGAAGCATTGTGCAGTGGTTCGCTTTGAGCCTTTCCTTGCTGACTAGATTGAGTAGAGTGTCGGGTTTGGGGATTGCAGTTGCGGCTGGGTTTCTCTGTTTTCTTGTTCTGACGCTTCTTTTGTTTTCCGTCGCAACGGTTAAACTTACAACATGTTTGCTTCTAGTACTTAGTATTTGGTGCAAGGTGCAGTTGTGAGAAATTTGGGAATAGCAGACTGGACTTGTTGGGGGCGGCCTCCAATTGGGTCTGTTATCCAAAATGCAAAAATCGGTTTTCTCATGGCACAACCCTTCCAGGAACCTGTGGCCTCATGCGTCCACTTACGGCCGGTGGCCTTGGATGTTGAGATCTGGTGGATTTCATCTGTCCTTGGGATGCCAAAGCCCTTGAGTTTGCGTTCCCATGTTGGGGTCAATGGAAACCAATGAGTTGCAGGGCGAATGCGGTACGCAAGGTGGTCAAGGGGATTTAGATTTAGATTCAGATTTGATCATATGGATTCCATATGGATGTGTTTTTGTTGGGTTCTTTAAAGTCCTAATGCACGAGGAGTGCCAGCTGATGATTTACATTCGAGGTTTGGGATTTACCCGGTTTGCCCAACAGCAGTGAGTTAGCATTCCAGATACCAGGTGGGTTCTCCGGTTTTGTGTGATTCGCATCCATGATGCACCAGTCTCGAGGCGTAGTGACCATCTCGGTGGAGCAGGTGCGCTGCGTTTTGTGGGTTTTGTTCAAGGAAATTCGATGTCGGGTCTTGGCAATGCTGGTAGGGATCGAAATGGATGATCCTGGATGCAAAGTTTTAGCAACGTGTTGGCTATTAGAGCATAGTTTGATGGATAATGATGGATAGATATAATGTCAACCCAGATGAATAAGACCTTGTTTGATTTTTCATGGGTGTCCAATATGGTTCCCTCTTCCCAATCAAACAGTTCAAGGATTTTGACATCATGCGTATTCAAATACATATATCTACATAGGTATATACATATATATATACATACATACATACATCCATACATACATACATACAAACATACATATATATATATATACTATATATGCATATGTCGGATGGACAAAACGGAAATTTCTTGGGTACCCAAAGAGATTAATCGGTGCGTTAATTACTTAGAGTGACCAGTTTTTGTCGATTGATGTTGGATTGCAGATATTGCAGTCCCAGCCCCTCTGGTACCAAAGGATGAAGTCTCAAACCGTGCTCAACTGCTCTTTGGATTTGTTGATGATGCCGGGAACCACAGCGAGTCAGCAACGGGAGGTGGTAAGTTCGGCAAATCGCAAGGCGAGACAAGGACGTGATCCACAAGATGTGTTTGAAACTGATTCCCTTTTAGCAAACCTAGCAAACCTTGTAAGAACCGATTTCAGGAACATGCATGTAATGTAACTTATTCATTGCAGGATGCCCACGCTTCAACAAATTGATAGTCTGACATCCATGTTCTAATCTGCTGGAGGTACCTCATGAGAGGGGTCTGAGCCTTTTCTGCGACTTGGTGGTGCAAACAGAGCTGTTTTGTGTTTTGGTTGTGTGGTGGCATATAGAATGAAGATGAATGAAGCAACATGTCACTAGAAATGAACCTGAAGCCCGTGATAGCCAGTCATGTTTCGTTTGTTTGTTGAGAGGAGTTGTTTGTGTTCTGTCCACCCGGTCCAAAGTAATACAAGGTGTTACATCCATTTGTTATACCAGTGAGAGTCTTTTCATACAGATTTGGCATGATTTGGCATCATCCCTTTGCTGCAGGCGGCTTCAGGACCAAAGAGGACTTGGATCGTTGCATTGGCATGAGGCGACATGTTGAACTTACTCTTGGGCTATTCGTTCAGTTGATTGATGATTTCTCTATATAAGTTCTAATAAATAGCATAAATAGCATGCCAATGATGACATTCTTCGTAAGTGCAGGTGTAGACGCAGCTACCATAGGAGGATAGGAAGTCGCATCTACTACCACTTGCTGCAGACAACCTACAGGGAATGATTGGCCCGGAAATTGCTAGGTAATTGTTTTGAAAAGTGTCATATGTTTTCTAGAATTTATATGAATTTATAGTATAAAGATAGATGGCCATGATAGCTGCATGTTTTCCTGATGGCACGTTGGACATAGATATGTTCTTTGAATATACATACCCTGATTCAATAGATTTTGAAGTCAAAACCGGGGATGATGGTAAATTTGCAGTGTAATTCGCATCATCACAACGCAGTAAAGAATGCACGCAGGAATTCAGAAACAGATCCTTAATTCGACTCATGGCAATACAAGAATGCCTCAAACCCTACATTTGCACGCGCTCTGGGGGCTTTCCTACTGTGGCCATTTGAACCACAATGCCTGGGGCTACACTAGGTGGTTGCCTGTCTTCAACTTCCGCGTGCCTGACATTTGGGTCTGGGTGCTCAGGTATAAAAACAGCTGCAAACCTTTTGCAAAGCTACAATTATGGGTTGACAATGCAAAATTCAGCCACAAGGTTACATTCTCAGACATTGGATCAAAAATCATCAAAAATATCTTTGTCCCTTGAAAGACTACTCTGGGAATGCCAAAGAAGTGTTTATATAATTTTATATATCGAAAAGAGTGGAATGTTGCACCAGTTTTGTGTGCCATGGCCGAGGTGAACATCAGCATATGGGCCTGGCACTTGGCTCTCCAGGGCCTTCACGTGTCCACGTCAAACTGTGTTTATTTTGCTGGTATCTTGACATGGGGCAGCCATTTTCCCATCAAAGGATTGATTTTTGGCGGTTCTTGATTCATCCAGCACACTATTTGATGGCTTCGGAGGCCTCCCAGCTTCGGATGTGTAGAAATCACGACAGGGCGTGTGACTTCCCAAGGAAGTGCTCCAAGAGGAAGACTTGAGCATTTGCGGCATTTGCTGGGAACTCAGTGGTATGTCAGTCTTGGTGATGTGGTATGTGATCAAAAGAACTTCAAGATTGGCCCCCAAATCTGTTGCGCCACTTCCATGGTAGTTTTTCCTAGGTCTTTTGTGTGCATTTTTAAAAGGATGTATCCGAGTCACCCCCAAGAGGCGGAACCGAGTCTTTTTAAAAAGAATCTTTTGCCAAGACCTATCTGCCACAATTTTGATGTACTCAGCCCAAACGGGGTATATATGCATTTACGATCATTTACGTATATCTATTGTATAATATATCTACATGATCTATGTGGTAATATGGTATATGTGTGGGTTGTATAGTATGTGTGTTAATTTGTGTATGATTGTGATTGATTGTGTATGTCATCTATGACTATCTATGAACATGTTGATAAATGTTGATAATATGTACATGCAATGTATGCATCGAGGCCGCCGTGGCTCGGACGTCTCCAGGGAGTTATGGTGGGGGGCCAAGATGACCAGGGCAGAAACCTAGCTATTCCACGGGGATTTAACGGATTTAACCATCAAATTGGGGAGATCCAGAAATGAATGTCAATTACGGTTGGGTCACAAGGGTAGGGTGTTTTACAACTCAACATATTGGGGATTACTATAATTCATGAACTGGGAATCCGGATCAACTAACCAACGGTGGATGTACCTGTATCATCATTTGATGATTCTGGGTGTGCATGCAGAAGCATGTATGTATATAAGTGTGTATATACATGCCTTTGTGCCGATACTTGTAGAAGGTACTAACATGGATGTCCAATAACGAAAGACACGTGGTGCCATTTTGGGTCAAGCTGCCCTGGCACCACCTAACCTCTTTTTCTCCAACCTGTCATAGTGGACCCCTCGAAGCAGAGGGAGAGAAGGGGAAAGGTCCAGGGATAGAAGGCGTCATCGCAGCCGAGACCGAGGCAGGAGGAGAGACTTAGCCCCTCCTGAGCCGGCCTACCCACCTAGGGGAAGAGGGATTACCCGTTCTCCCTCGGGCGGAGGGGAATACACACAGCAAGTGCGGCAGGTGGAGAGAGGACGCAAGACCTCCACCAGGACGGAGTGCTACGCAAACGAACGCTTACCTAGCGCGGAAGTCAAAGCCAGCGGTTCCACCGGTAAGTCTGTCCTTAGGTCAGACATCTGGTGTGCTAGCTGCGGGGGCATGGGCGGCGAGATGGGAGCTGGCTTCCCTGTTAGAGTCTCGGTGTGACCCGGGAAGCCTGGTGGACCTCATCAAGAAAGGTGAAGAAGGCGACCATGTGCTGAGCAATTTTGCTCCAAAGGCCATAACCCCACCAAGCACTGCCGGTAGCTGGTCACCCGTCGCTTCCTCCAAGCGCATCGAAAAAAAGGGATACGACAAAAAAGATTCCCTGTCGGACACCGAGGTGTGGGAGAAGGATATCAATAGGCAGGCTGCAATCCTGGAGTCTCTGAAGTCCCAGAGTGCAGCCGATCTCCCACCATGGGTGATGAGCGGTTCAAGTTCAGGGCCTGCGTCAGGGAGTGGAAAAGCAAAGGCCCCTGCTGCAGCTCCGCCACTGGCTACAGCAGTGAAGATCAGCGCCAGAGATGCTGTTTTCTCGAAACCGGCAGGTCCCTCCCCTGCAGGAGTCGCAGTGAAGAGCAGGCACTCCGCAGAGGAAGGTGGGACTCCCTCCAGCACAGGGGCGAGTGGAGAGTCGGGCGAGGCTGCAGAAGAAGAGGTGAGGTTCATGAAGCCCGCAACCCCCCCTCCAGACGTGCCGCCAAGCGAGCCACAGAGCCGTGGCGAGCGTGACGCAGGGGGGAGAAGGTGGGCTACTGGCAGACCAGGCTCGATGAAAGAGCGTGAGCGCCAAGAAATGGACAAATTCGATACGGAGTGCGAAACCGTTTACGGTATCTTGAAAAGCAAGTTCGAGATAGAGATGGAGCTGCCCGAGATAGTGGAATCCGATGGTCGACTAGACCGACGAAGGTTCCAGAGGTTGACAACTCCCAACCGGGCTGCGACTGGCCTAAACTACACAAGGCTCATGAACAGATTCCTCAAGTGGCGTTGGGACAGGCCTGACTTGAACGAACGCCGAGGAGGGTTCGACGCGAAGATAGGCGTCCTGGACTTTGTGGAGGAGTTGATGCAGCAGCAAGTCGGGTTCTTGACGCCCAGGAGTTTTCTCTGTGTAGTGGACTATTTTGGTCCGGGGGGCATTGGCACAGAGCGCAAAGGTTGGCAGGCAGTTTTGCCGCTTCCCCGACAGCCCCAGTCGAGAGAGCGCCAGGGTTCAAGAAAGCCACCATGCACGCCCTGGAGAGTGCTGTGATCGACAACAGCCTCCCGTGCACCGAGAGGGTAGCGTGTGGCAAGCTCAGGTTGTGCATACAGGCTTCGATCAGGTATGGTGATTTGTTGGATACTCCGCTGGAGTGCTTCGAGTGGGTGAGGCGTCCCGGCGAGATCAACAACATCATCGGCATTCGATCGAGGGCGTTGAGGGGTAAGAGCGGGCCGAGGCTCGAGGTCATGGATAGCTGCACTGAGCGGTGTGGCAAAAGAGCATGATGACTGGCTGCCTACCCTGATGCGCCTGCTTGTGGAGTCGCATGGTGCAACATGGCGACAGGACGATCATGGATGAGTGCCATGACGCCGCCGGGCGCATAGCCGAGGAGAGACTCGACTTGGAGAAGACCATTTTCAAGGAAGGTGGAGATTTTTCTGCATGTCTGGAAGATGACGACAAGTCGTCGTTTGGGTACTCAGCGTCTTTGGCCGATGCAGAGGACAAGAAGGACCTTATGGCAGCTGACGCAGAGCCCGAGCAGGCGCTGGACGAGGAAGACACTGAAGGGGCCACCTCCCATTGAATTCAGGCCAAGGTCATTGGCCAGAAGCCAAAGGTGCACCTGCCCGGCATCGTGCTTCCTGGAAGGGAAAACTTTGGAGGCAGCACCGAAGTGCGGGGCCGCAGTGGCCTATGACTTCCTGGCTGCGAAGGAGCCCCTGGAGGCGGAAGTGCAGTTGTGCAAAAGATGTTCTCCGAGCAGTACTGAGAGGGCCTGTGAGTGCATTTGTTCGTATATGTTTTTGTCAAAAAGTGTAGTAGTGTACAGATGTTTTCGCAGGTGTGACAAGGAAGGGGCTCATGATGAGCACCTCTGCTCCTTGCACGCCGACCGGCCGAAGCGGGGGGCCGAAAGACAAATGAGCGTCCACCTGCACCGCGCAGTGTGCAAAAGCCGCTGCTTGAGTCGGTGAGTTAGCAGACGTAGGGTTGAGCCCGAAGGGAGTAACCAACGCTATGAGAGAGCCCTTATAAGGGCAAGTCCGGTAAGCTGAAGTCGCTGTGCCTCTCACAGTGGTGGTGACTGCACTAACGCCGCAGCGCCTTCGCTCTCAGTTTCTGAGAACAAGCGGCCGCCTATGGCAAACTTGTCACAGGCGAGTATACCGGCCGGCTTTTTGAAGTCGGCTGCGCAGTTTGGAGTCGCAGAGTCTGACTTTTTGCTCCTGGCCGACCTGGGGATAGACACGCATGAAGCCTTCGCGCTCCGGGTTCATTCTCGGGAAGCGTTAGAGGAGTTTCTGCGTGATGTAATCTGCCCTGGAGCGGCTTACAGGGATCCAGTCAGAGGCCTGCTGACCTTCAATAGAACACCCGCCGTGCCATGGCAAAACTTCAAGATGTCCGAGGACTCTGCTGCCTTATGGAAGTTTTTGCTTTTGGCCAAAGAGCTCTGTAAGGGGGAGCTTGAGCATCTAGCTGCAGGACAGGATGCCAGTAGGGTGAAGGTGAAGCTGGCTTCCGCCGTGGCCATGGAAAACTCCGCGGTCGCGAGAGGAATGCCGAGGCCAGGCACCAACACTCAGCGTCCATCCCTGTTCAGCCTCACGCGCTTGGCTCGCAGCCACCTTGGGCCGGGAGCTTCCTAGGACTATGTGGTCTGGGAGAACTACATAAGTCAAGAAGAGGAAGACAAGCTTGTCAGAGCTGGATCCATGCCCAAGTCCAAGAGTGAGGTAATCCTGTCAAAGGATTCCAATCTCTCCCTGAAGGAGGAGGAGAGCACTACGCCACCTGGCTCAACCGTTGGGGATATAGAGATCATGCGCCGAAGGAGCCAGGGCCGCAGAGATGCTCCAGATCGGATCCTATGCGGTGTACCGCACTTTGCATGACAGGTACTACTCCAAGATTTTGGGCGAGACGCCAGAAGGCATGCGTCCACCGACGATACAGGAGGTGAGGTGCTTTGACAGGACGCTTCACCAGGAACTCCTCCGATGGCTCTCGCGGGAGGTCGGGACCCTGGATGCCGGGATGGAATACTACCTGGGGCAGGAAGAACTTGCTTCGTGGAGGTTGCTTGACCCGGTTGTAGCGACCTTGCCAGATCAAGGGCTCCTGTCAGAAAACGCAAAGCAGCAGAGGAAACGGAAGAGGACCACAGCAGCCCAGAGCCGTTGAAGAGACGACTGGCAGAGCCCTACCGCCCCAAGAAGATCAGCCAATGTCTGGTCTGCAAGAAGAGGCACTACCCCTACTGCAAGATGTCCGAGGATCACACAAAGAAGATGCGGAACAAGAAGAAGGCCAAGGCAGCTGAGGCAAAGGCGAAAGCGGCAGCTGGCGCCAAAGGCGGCCACCAGAAAGGAGGTGACGCCTAGGGATTGGGCCAGTCGCCTTTGGATGCGGCTCCACAGGTGATTAAGGCCTGAGTTGAAGCCGCTGAAGTTTCACACCCCAAAAAAGATGTCCTTTCCGAGAACGCATCCCCTAAGGGGAGGGTCCTTGAGCCTTGGGATATTCTTCGGGGCAAATGTATTTTTAAACATAGGACCGATTTGGATAGGGACCTTAGTTTAAGTACACTGAGACATTTCGCTCCAAACTGTGCCACCTTTTCACGTGCCCGAGAGATACCCATTCCGGGCGTAGAAAATGCACCACGACCAATAGGGGATGAGGACCACCCTGAAGGTATTCCATCCGAAATTGGAAAAATGAGCAAAAAGAAGTTATTTACACACACATGGCAGACCTTTCGGCCGAAAAATGCCTGGAGAGCCATGAGAGGGGGGACTTTTTCACTTTGGAACACCCGGCCAGGAGCATCGCGCTTCATTTGGAGAACTGGCAGAGGCTAATGAGCCAGCCGGGAGTCCAAGTGATAAACTGTACTACTTGCATGTTCGAGGGAAGCCGAAGAAGGAAGTGTCAGGTGTTGAGAACAAACCACCCGGCTTTTCGATCTATGGAGCTCTTTTGTTCGAACAGAAACCTTTGTGACAGGACCCACGATAGACATCTAAAGTGGCGTCCAACTACTTCCGGAGGGAAGGTAGTACAATTTTGCACAGGAGATGAACGTGAATATCCAGAAGGTTTCTGCAGGGCTTACGCAAGAGTGGCCTGTAGCATTTTGCAGGAGCAAGATTGCTTCGCGGAAGTTTTCTCAGGTCCAAATGCACCGCTCAGTGGCGCCGTTTGTGCAGAGCGAGGGCAGGAGCTACATGGGTATAAGGTTAATTAATTCTACAAAGGGTGTCAAGACAGAACTTCAGAGACTGCCGCAAGCTGTATCTGGCAAGACCTCGACGGCCTCAATCCGTCCACTAGTGGATGAGGAAGAGCCGAGAGATGTGCAAAAAACTGAGCCCAGGGGGCCAGAGACGGCCTTTAACAGGATTACAATGTTGGAGGCTGGTCGGCAGCCTGGGTATGGGAAACGTCAGCAGTTGATAGCACCCAGAGGCGCACTTGGATGAAGCTCTGCGGTTGGAGCACCCGTTCGTCTCAGGCAATTCCCTCAAATTGCGTCATTGGGAGGCTCTGGCAAGTTTGGCAGAGGACCCTGGTGACTGCAATCTGAGGAGGCTGCGAACCCTGGCAGAGTGGAAGACGCTAGCCAGGAGCGCAGAGGTTCGGATCTTCAGGAGTTCCATGAATCCGTCGAAGCGTCTTGGCAGAAAGCCATGAACGGGATGAGCCTTCTGACGCGTAGATATGATATAGCTGACAGTGGGTTTCCATGGTTGTGTTTGAAAGGGCCCCCGATAGTTGGCAGGCTTTGGAGCCCCCCTTTTTCCATCCGTATGAGGTTCCGGCGGCTATCTCAGTCGCTGAGCTGCTGGCAACAGCCAAGAAGAGAAGGCAGCTGCTGGCAACAGCCAAGAAGAGAAGGCAGGCAGTGGTCCAGAGAGTTAAGTTCATGGGTGAGACAGGGATCTATGGCAGGCCCTTTCACTCACGAAGAGCTGGTTCAGCAATTTGGTGAGTTTTACAACGTCGTCCCCAGCTTTGGGCTTCACCAGGGTCATGACGAGGAGGGCAACCCAAAATACCGGAGGATCGATGATCACACGGCAGGCCATACCAACCTAGCAGCGACACGCACGCAAAAAATCGTCATGACAGCAGCACTGTTTAGACGGTTCCCAACGCGACTCCGAATAGGAACGGAAGACATGCAGTCAGCATACAGGCAGATGCCTTTGCCAGACAGCCAGACATGTATCTCGGTTACGGCGGTCTACGACCCAACCACAAAGGAGGCCCATCTATTCACCCTCTTTGGGCAACCCTTTGGTGCTGGGCACGCAGTGCCAAACTTTTATAGGTTAGCGGAGTGGGCGGCGCAAGCGTGTACAACAGCCTTTCGCCTTATGCTTGATCATTTCTTCGATGATTTTATCATGAAAAGTGAGCTCAGTGCAGCACAGTGGCTATGTTCTGTGTTAAGGAAGCCTTCCAGTTGCTAGGGCTCACGCTAGACCCTGGAAAGTCACAGCCTCCAGCTGAAGTTGTAGCTGTTCTGGGAGTGGCCTTCAACACTGTTTCTTTATCGGCGCAGAGACGCTTATTGGTGGAGCCAAAGCCTTTAAGGCGTGAAAACTTCACCGTCATGGTGGACAATGTGTTAAGGAACAACCTTCTACCGCCGAGTCTTGCGGCGAGTATTCTGGGGAAGTTTGGTTTTCTTTGCAGTAGATTGTTTGGTAAGGTTGGTCGTCTCTGCACGGGACATGTCCGACACCGGCAGTATTCCAGCACCAAAGATCACACGCTTACTGATGATCGTAGGCTGGCTCTCAAATTGATGGTTCACATCGTCAACGCTGCCCCATCAATGCACTATGCATCAACGCCAGCGCCCCACCGTTCTTTACACTGATGCCTCTGATGTTCCAGCCAGAGAGCCGAGATACGGGTTGGGAGCGGTGATAATACAGCAGGAACCAACCTTTATCATTCAATACTTCAGTTGCAGTCCAGAGACCACATTGGTGGAGTCCTGGCAACAGCGTTCCACGTACATGGCACAGTTGGAGCTACTAGTGTGCCCAACTGCCTGAATGACATGGTGTGAGTTGTTGTCCCATCGGACCTTGATCCACTTCATTGACAACGACAGCGCTGCCTGTGGCTTGGTCCGAGGATTCTCTCCAAAAAATGACTCGAGTGCCATCATAGGTGAATATTGGAGCATTGCCGCTGCAAACTGCATTGATCCCTATATCGACCGGGTTGAGTCCAAGTCCAACCTGAGTGATGAACCTAGTCGCTTCTCTTTCACCCTTATGTCCTCCCTTAATGCCACCCGTGTCCGGCCAATTTTTCCTAAACCGACAGTTTCACCTATTTTCAGTTTCTTTGGGGAGAGTGCTGCGTTACTCTCGGTGACACCACAATTCACGTTGGGAAAAGCTTCCTGGGCTCCCTGGAGGTGTGAGTGGCTCGCAGTAGTACTGGCCAGCCAACTCATCACGCTCAGTGGGTCCAGGGTCCAGCCACTGCTTGTCTGAGAGCAAGACTCGACCCAACGGATGAAAAAGAGAAAGCAGTGCGTGCAAGGCTGACAATGCTTTCTCCCATTTGAGGAACGTGTCTAGTTTAGGATATCCATGCCTTTGTGCCGATACTTGTAGAAGGTACTAACATGGATGTCCAATAACGAAAGACACGTGGTGCCATTTTGGGTCAAGCTGCCCTGGCACCACCTAACCTCTTTTTCTCCCTCCCTCCCAGACCCTGGGGAAGTGTCCAGTTTCGCCGCTTCCTGGGCTCCTTGGAGGTGTGAGTGGTACTGGCCAGCCGACTCATCACGCTCAGTGGATCCAGGGTCAAGCCACTGCTTGTCTGAGAGCAAGACTCGACCCAACGGATGAAAAAGAGAAAGCAGTGCGTGCAAGGCTGAGCTTTCTCCCATTTGAGGAACGTGTCTAGTTTAGGATATCCATGCCTTTGTGCCGATACTTGTAGAAGGTACTAACATGGATGTCCAATAACGAAGGACACGTGGTGCCATTTTGGGTCAAGCTGCCCTGGCACCACCTAACCTCTTTTTCTCCAGTGTCCAGTTTCGCCGCTTCCTGGGCTCCTTGGAGGTGTGAGTGGCTCGCAGTGGTACTGGCCAGCCGACTCATCACGCTCAGTGGGTCCAGGGTCAAGCCACTGCTTGTCTGAGAGCAAGACTCGACCCAACGGATGAAAAAGAGAAAGCAGTGCCTGCAAGGCTGACAATGCTTTCTCCCATTTGAGGAACGTGTCTAGTTTAGGATATCTATTTACATATATATATATGAATTGTTTTACATACATATATGTACATATACGTATATACATGTAGGCATATTATATTATATATATATGCGTATTATATATGCGCGTTTTGTAGGTTGTGTCGCTCTACTTGATTTTTCAGTGCGGGATATGGGTGGTGTATCCCCTTGCCATCTTCCAGGTTTCCTTCCATCCAAGAGAAGTTTGAGGAGCACGATGAGGTTTTTGCCGGAATTTTGTCACTTCGAAATTCGAAACCTTGGTTTTTGCAGCAAAATAGCTGAGATTCATCGGGGTCCATCACCCCAAAATATGGAATATAGTAGTATTGATCCATCCACAAGGCCCCATATTGAAATCAAGTTTCATGATTGTCTCGGAGTGCCGGCCACCGCGGTCTATTTTGGACTTTGCTATTGACAGTCCGGCTGGAGAGTCGCAATATGCGTGTACGGATTGTTTTTCAAACTGATTCCTGCGAGAAAAACATGCATCCAACTTTTCTTGGAGATATTGCTCGATTGTGGTGGGACCAGATGAACTTGCCGTGTCAGTGGTTTGCTGACCCAGACTGCTTTGTGCATGACAAATTTTTGACTTTTCATGAGCGGTGCTTTTGAACAGTTATATAATTATATAGATATATATATATATAACCCAGAAACATGAGAATACCCAAGAAAGTTTGTTCCCTAGTAGAAGATGTGAAGTTGTTTTTTAGATTGCCAAATTCATTGTTTTCCGTTTGCCAAGCTGAGCTAGACCGTTGACCCAGTTTGACATTCGTGCACCCATAGACCCCCGGCAGGTGGTGTTGACCCTTGCCAGCGCGGTAATGTTTGCAGAGAAACATCTGGAGACCGGGGCCGCTGCGGTTTGTGACAAGAGAAAGTGGAAGGATGGGAAACATGAATAAAAACGACATCTTTGTAAGCAGATCTCTTGGTGTAGTTTGCATGACAGAGATTAAGATTGACCCTCTGGAATCTCTGGAATAGTAGTGGGGTGCCGAGAGTCTTTCAGGCTATTCAATGTTGGGGATGTGTGGGTTTGTATCTTGTGCCCAGCGTAGACACAAGGGCTGCACCACATGGCTCTTGGAATTTGAGAGGTGTGAGTGTGGGTGTTTTTGGATCGGCTCAGATGACTGGAACAACCACCAAGAACCAGCGTCGTGCCAGCAAGTTGAAAGACAGCCAGAGATCCTTTGGCGTCCACATTCTTAAACAGCCAAACAATTTTCCAGGATGGAGCAAAGCCTTATTCTTTGCCACCCTCCAATGTCACTTGCTCACAATTAGCGGTTTGGTCAAAGCCAAGGGTCGTTGTAGTCAGCTGGGGGCTGGGTTGCAGACCTTATCCGAGTTGAGTCAAACGCCGCAAAAGCACAGCTTTTCAGCCGGAGACGGGCACTGTGGACAGCATAGACCATGTATGGAAAACAAAACAGAAGATCTTACAAAGTGGCAATTTCATGGAAGATCTTGCTCCAAGAAAAGACATGTTAAGAGTTCCAAAGGCAAAAACATTTGCTCATTGTTTGTTACTGTATAAGCTGCAAAACAAAGCACGTTGTCCTTTGTATAATATTGTACCAGTAGTACCGCACAAGGCGGTTGCGGAAGTTTCAAAAATAGGAAACCTATAGGAGAGATTGGTTGTTGTGAATCAGGGATGGCAGAGCGAAGCCACTGATGGATCGAAAGACGATTGATCTCTCTCACTCTTTCTCTGACTGTCTACCTACCTACCTATCTATCTAGCTATGTATCTATCTCTCTATCTAACTATCTATCTCTCCCTCTCTCTCTTTCATTTGATTACTCTATCTATCTATCTATCGATCTATCTATCGATCTATCTATCGATCGATCTATCTATCTATCTATCTCTCTCTCTCTCTCTTTCATCTGTCTATCTGTCTAGCTGTACTACCTGTCTATCTATTTATCTATCTATCTCTCTCTCTCTCTTTCATCGGTCTATCTGTCTAGCTGTCTAGCTGTCTACCTGTCTATCTATCTATCTATCTATCTGTTTGTCTGTCTGTCTGTCTACCTATCTATCTATGGTGCACCTAGCTACCTACCTACCAATCTATCTATCTATCTATGTATCTATCTATCTATCTATCGATCTATCTCTCTCTCTCTCTCTTTCACCTGTCTCTCTGTCTAGCTGTCTACCTGTCTATCTGTCTATCTATGTATCTATCTATCTATCGATCTATCTCTCTCTCTCTCTCTTTCATCTGTCTCTCTGTCTAGCTTCCAAACGTGGTCGGAGACCGCCAGTTTTAACACTTTTGACTTCAGAATGTGCTTCGCGCCACAACGGCGTGCACTTTTTCGACATCTTGACTTCCAAAAGTGGTCCGGACCTGGTGTGCTTTGTACATTTTGACTTGGAAATGTGCTTCGCGCCACAACGGCGTGCACTTTTTCGACATCTCAACTTCCAAAAGTGTTCCGAAGCTGAGGTGTTTTGGACATTTTGCCTTGGAAATGTGTTTCGCGCCACAACGGCGTGCACTTTTTCGACATCTCAACTTCCAAAAGTGGTCCGAACCTGGTGTGTTTTGGACATTTTGACTTGGAAATGTGCTTCGCGCCACAACGGCGTGCACTTTTTCGACATCTCAACTTCCAAAAGTGGTCCGAACCTGGTGTGTTTTGGACATTTTGACTTGGAAATGTGCTTCGCGCCACAACGGCGTGCAATTTTTCATCTCTCATCTGGCCAGCTGGCTCCGCACCCGCCGCTTTAGCGAGCCTACTTTTCGAGCCTCCGGAGCCACAAATCATTGGAAAAACATAGTGTTTCGCGACTTTCCTACCTTTTCGCGCATCGGCATCTGCTTTCTTCTGACTCTTTCTCTTCTCTGATCTTCTCTCTTCTAATCTTTCTCTTCTCTCTCCCTCTGCCCTGCTCTGCTTTTCATCTGTCCATATTGTCGGAAGTTTGACTTCTAAATTTCCTTCGATAATTATAGAATATACCAATGCACGAGGCGGGGCGGAAGTTGCCATATATATATATATATAAGACCTTTCTCATCTATAGAACTTGCATGCGCCGTGCGCCAGCCAAGCCCGTGCGTGCGTGCACTCTGCGAAACTTGTGTCCTGTTTCACATGTCACATTTGAAGCTCCACTTCGCACTCCACACTTCACACTTCACAGTCCACACTTCACACTTCTCACTTCTCACTGCTTTCTTCACTTCACACTCCACACTGCACACTGCACTCTTCACGCCCCACACTTCACATTGCACTCTTCACACTCCACACTTCATCTCATCTGAGCTCTTCTCACCTTATCCCAGCTCACCTCTTCTCATATGTCATCAAAGCTTTCATGAATCACTTCCCAGCACTACTACTAAGGAACTTGCATGCGCTGTGCGGAAGCCAGGCCCGTGCGCGAGTGCTTTGTGCGAAGCTGTTGCAGTGTTGTTGTCCAAGAAGATGACCTGCGCACGACCCCGGCGCAATGCAACGTCAAGCAAACACTTTCCTCACACTTCACATTGCACTCTTCACACCCCACACTCCGCACTTCACACTTGCACTTAATCTCAACTCATCTCATCTAAGCTCTTCTCATCTCATTTCATGTCTTCCCATATGTCAGCTAAATTCTTCTTGGCTATTTTCATGTCAACTATTTCCCAGTACTGGTGTCTACTACAAAAGCTTGCAAAAACTACTTCCCAGTACTACTTTGTACTACAAAGCTTGCACAAAACACGTTCCAGTACTACTTTGCACTACAAAGCTTGCACAAAGTATTTCCCAGTACTACTTTGTACTACGAAGCTTGCAAAAACTACTTTCCAGTACTACTTTGTACTACAAAGCTTGCAAAAACTACTTTCCAGTACTACTGTGTACTACAAAGCTTGCACAAATTACTTCCCAGTACTACTTTGAATTACAAAGCTTGCACAAACTACTTCCCAGTACTACTTTGTACTACAAAGCTTGCACAAACTACTTCCCAGTACTACTTTGTACTACAAAGCTTGCACAAAGTCCTTTCCAGTACTACTTTGTACTACAAAGTTTGCACAAACTACTTCCCAGCACTGGTGTCAACTACAAAATCTTGCAAAAAGTACTTCCGAGTACTACTTTGTACTACAAAGCTTGCACAAAACACGTTCCAGTACTACTTTGCTCTACAACGCTTGCACAAAGTATTTCCCAGTACTACTTTGTACTACAAAGCTTGCACAAAGCACTTCCCAGTACTACTGTGTACTACAAAGCTTGCAAAAAGTACTTCCCAGTACTAGTTTGTACTACAAAGCTTGCACAAACTGCTTCCCAGTACTACTTTGTACCACAAAGCTTGCACAGAACACGTTCCAGTACTACTTTGTACCACAAAGCTTGCACAAACTACTTCCCAGTACTGGTGTCTACTACAAAAGCTTGCAAAAAGTACTTCCGAGTACTACTTTGTACTACAAAGCTTGCACAAAACACGTTCCAGTACTACTTTGCTCTACAACGCTTGCACAAAGTATTTCCCAGTACTACTTTGTACTACAAAGCTTGCACAAAGCACTTCCCAGTACTACTGTGTACTACAAAGCTTGCAAAAAGTACTTCCCAGTACTAGTTTGTACTACAAAGCTTGCACAAACTGCTTCCCAGTACTACTTTGTACCACAAAGCTTGCACAGAACACGTTCCAGTACTACTTTGTACCACAAAGCTTGCACAAACTACTTCCCAGTACTGGTGTCTACTACAAAAGCTTGCAAAAAGTACTTCCGAGTACTACTTTGTACTACAAAGCTTGCACAAAACACGTTCCAGTACTACTTTGTACTACAAAGCTTGCACAAAACACGTTCCAGTACTACTTTGCACTACAAAGCTTGCACAAAGTATTTCCCAGTACTACTTTGTACTACGGAGGCTTGCAAAAACTACTTTCCAGTACTACTTTGTACTACAAAGCTTGCACAAACTACTTCCCAGTACTACTTTGTACTACAAAGCTTGCACAAAGTATTTCCCAGTACTACTTTGTACTACGAAGCTTGCGCAAAGTACGTCCCAGTACTACATTGTGATACAAAGTTGGCACAAAGAAAGCTTCTACAGACAGCAAGTTCTTTCGCAGAGAAGCTTTTACACACACACACAACAAGCTTTTACACAGAGAAGCTTTTACACACAGCAAGCTTTCACACACAGCAAGCGTTTACACACAGAACACTTACACACAGTGCTTTTACACATGGCAAACGGTTACGCACACACACACACAGCAAGCTTTTTAAACAGAGAAGCTTTTACACACAGAGAAGCTTTTACACACAACAAGCTTTTACACAGAGAAGCTTTTACACACAGCAAGCTTTCCCACACAGCAAGCGTTTACACACAGAACACTCACGCACAGTGCTTTTACACATGACAAGCGTTTACACACACAGAAACTTTTACACAGAGACGCTTTTACACACAGAGAAGCGTTTACACACAAAATCTTTCACACACAGCAAGCTTTTACAGAAAAAGTTTTTACACAGAGAAGCTTTCTTGCACATAATCACAACAGGAATTGCAGCTCCAAAACCGGAGCTCGACGCCAAAGCAGAAAAAAGACGATTCTGCAGCACTTTTCAAAGGGACTTTTAACAGGAAAATTACTAGCGCCAAAATTTAGAAAATCTGCTGACAAATCACTCTCGCAGCCTGGATGCACCCACTCCAATACGATTTACGATCTTCAGCTGCAAAAGACAATAGTATTACGCATGCAGCCGCGGCCCGGAGCAACCTTGACGCAGCCACTACAATAAGATCTGCAGAGACTGAGTTGCAAAGCACTTTAAAACTACGCACAACGGTTTCGGAAATTGCAGCTCCAAAACCGGATCCCGACGCCAAAGCAGAAAAAAGACGATTTTGAAGCACTTTTAAAATTCTAAAAATGATTTTTAAAAGGAAAATTACTAGCGCCAAAATTGCGAAAATCTGCTGACAGGTCACTCTCGCAGCCTGGATGCAGCCACTCCAATACGATTTACGATCTTCAGCTGCAAAAGACAATAGTATTACGCATGCAGCCACTACAATGCGACCTGCAACCACAGCTTCAAGAAATGCATAGAACTACGCACACAGGAACAGCCACTTGTTGCAGAACACAGAGGAGGAACCAAACGACCGCAGCGCACCCGCCGCACGCAGGAGGTACCTTTCATCGCCGGTCGCGGCCACTTCACACGGAATTATAGGACCGGATAACCCCACATGTTACCAACTTCTCTAGACTTAGACTGAGCATAGAAAAGCAACAAGGGAAGAGGAAGTATGAGAGTGATGGAGGGGTGATGGTGGGTGAGTTTGTGTGTGTGTGTATATATGTGCATGCACAGGTGAGTGAGTGAGCCTGTGAGTGAGTGATGTGAGTGTGGTGTGTGTGAGTGAGTGAGGGAGAGTGAGCGAGTGAGAGTGAGCGAGTGAGAGTGAGCGAGTGAGAGTGAGCGAGTGAGTGAGTGAGCGAGCGAGCGAGCGAGGGAGGGAGTGAGTGAGTGAGCGAGTGGAGCGAGTGGAGTGAGTGGAGTGAGTGGAGTGAGTGGAGTGAGAGAGTGAGAGGGAGGCCGGGAGTGAGCGAGTGAGAGGGAGGCCGGGAGTGAGTGAGTGGTCCGAGTGCCATAGACCAGCATCATGACGTGAGCAGACAAGGCATGAATAAAGAAGCCATGATAAGCTGACAAGCAATCAATCTGAATGAGCTGTGTTGATACATCGCCGTGCCCTGCTTCTGAAGAGCATGACCTGAGCAGAGCAAGGACGCCAGTGCGTACATCCGACCCCTTGCAGAGCACCAAGTGCTGCGCCTGCCATGCAAAACCTACCGGCAAAGCGGCGGAGACCAAGGGACGCCAGGGCGTACATCCGACCCCTTGCAAAGCAGCAAGTGCTGCGCTTGCCACGCACAAGCTACCGGCAAAGCGGCGGAGACCAAGGGACGCCAGGGCGTACATCCGACCCCTTGCAGAGCAGCAAGTCTGCGCCTGCCACGCAAAAGCCACCGGCAGAGCGGCGGAGACCAAGGGACGCCAGGGTGTACATCCGACCCCTTGCAGAGCACCAAGTGCCGCGCCTGCCACGCAAAAGCAGCGGAGACCAAGGGACGCCAGGGCGTACATCCGACCCCTTGCAGAGCAGCAAGTGCTGCGCCTGCCACGCAAAAAGCAGCGGAGACCAAGGGCCGCCAGGGCGTACATCCGACCCCTTGCAGAGCACCAAGTGCCGCGCCTGCCACGCAAAACCTACCGGCAAAGTGGCGGAGACCAAGGGACGCCACGCCGTACATCCGACCCCTTGCAGAGCACCAAGTGCAGCGCCTGCCACGCAAAAGCCCCCGGAGACCAAGGGACGCCAGGACGTACATCCGACCCCTTGCAGAGCACCAAGTGCCGCGCCTGCCACGCAAAAGCCACCGGCAGAGCGGCAGAGACCAAGGGGCGCCAGGGCGTACATCCGACCCTTTGCAGAGCACCAAGTCCTGCGCCTGCCACGCAAAACCTACCGGCAAAGTGTCCGACCCCTTGCAGAGCACCAAGTGCTGCGCCTGCCATGCAAAACCTACCGGCAAAGCGGCGGAGACCAAGGGACGCCAGGGCGTACATCCGACCCCTTGCAGAGCACCAAGCGCGGCGCCTGCCACGCAAAACCTACCGGCAAAGTGGCGGACCCCTTGCAGAGCAGCAAGTGCTGCGCCTGCCACGCAAAAAGCAGCGGAGACCAAGGGACGCCAGGGCGTACATCCGACCCCTTGCAGAGCACCAAGTGCCGCGCCTGCCACGCAAAAGAGTGTGAGTGAGGGTGAGTGTGTGAATGAATGTGAGTGAGTGAGTGAGGGAGGGAGGGAGGGAGGGAGGGAGGGAGGGATGTGGAGTGATGTGGAGCGAATCGGAGAGTGCGAGTCGACTGAGAGGAGTGAGAGTGCGGGGAGTGAGTGCGAGTGATGGAGGACTGAGAGTGAGAGTGACGAGAGTGACTGAGCGTGACAGAGTGAGAGTGAGAGTGAGTGCTGAGAGTGACTGAGAGTGACTGAGAGTGACTGAGAGTGACTGAGAGTGACTGAGAGTGAGTGAGAGTGAGTGAGAGTGCAGAGTGAGTGCAGAGTGAGTGCAGACAGAGTGAGTGAGTGAGTGAGTGAGTGAGTGGGTGAGTGAGTGGGTGAGTGAGTGAGTGAGTGGGTGAGTGAGTGGGTGAGTGAGTGAGTGAGTGAGTGGGTTAGTGAGTGAGTGAGTGAGAGTGAGTGAGAGTGAGTGAGAGTGAGTGAGAGTGAGTGAGAGTGAGTGAGTGAGTGAGTGAGAGTGAGTGAGAGTGAGTGAGAGTGAGTGAGTGAGTGAGTGAGAGTGAGTGAGAGTGAGTGAGAGTGAGAGTGAGTGAGAGTGAGTGAGAGTGAGTGAGTGAGGGTGCTCAATCACCCTGCGCTTCTCAGAATTGAAAAATGATTCAACTTTTTTGAACTTAACAACGTCAAAAACAAAACAATTCTGCGAGACTTCCTTCAAAAATGGAGAGTTGCATGCAGCGCTGACGGCCTCGTACCAATGCGTTTTGCGATTTTTCCAGTCCACCTGTCTAAACCACTGCCCCTGCCACGAAAAAGTGATGCCAGGTCATACGAAGTGCTGCACCTGTCACGCAAAATCATCTGAGCAAACCTACAGATCTGATGCTCCAAAATGCAACCCTTCTCAGGAAATCAGCGCCCTGACCTCCTAACATCTCTGATGAACATGTCTCTTGCACTGCGCTGCCACGGAAAATGCATCTTTGCAGATCCTGTTCAAATGTCCCACGCCTGCCATCGTTTTTGGAAATGCCACAAAACCCTCACGTTTTGCTCTTTTGAGAAAGTGCACAATCCCTTGCGCCTGCCACGCGAAACGACATAAGTGGTCCGAACCCCTGGTGTTTTTAACATGTTGACTTCGAAATGTGCTTCGTGCCACAACGGCGTGCACTTTTTCGACATCTCAATTTCCAAGAGTGGTCCCGACCTGGTGTGTCTTGCGCATTTGACTTCGAAATGTGCTTCGCGCCACAACGGCGTGCAATTTTGCATCTCTCATCTGGCCAGATGGCTCCGCACCCGCCGCTTTAGCGAGCCTACTTTTCGACCCTGCGGAGCCACAAATCATTGGAAAAACACAGTGTTTCGCGACTTTCCTACCTTTTCGTGCACCTTCATCTTCCTTCTTCTGACTCTTTCTCTTCTGCTATCTTCTCTCTTCTACTTTTCTCTCTTCTACTCTTCTCTTCTCTCTGACTCTTCCCATCTCTGCTTTTCATCTGTCCATATTGTCGGAAGTTTGACTTCTAAACTTCCTTTGATCATAGTCTCCAGCTGGGCCCTGTCGGCGCCACAGCTGAGGTGATGGATGCGCGCAAACTTCACGCTCACTACTTGAGTTTCATGTGGGCCTGGGAGGTGCAACTGAGACGTGAGTTGAATTCTCCCCTTTCGGTGGATTTTGGCATTCCTTGGATTGCTTTAAGAACGTTTAAGGGAAAATTGCCGGAAAGTGTATAGTTGATGCCTAAGAAGCCCCATGATTTCCTGTAGCACCAACGCCAACCCATTCAGATATTGTTTGATGAATTTGGATGCGTCAGGATGCACGAGGTCTTGGTAAGGTGCATTCAAACACTGGATGCACGGAAAGGGTCGCATTTCAGCGCCCGTGTGCTCAAGCTAAAGCTGATGTATTCTCACAGGTGTTTTTTCAGTAGAAGGATTTCAATGGTGCCTGCTTTGCTTACATTTCCTCCCAAAATGATCGAAACAGCCGGGGTTACGAACCCTGCCGTGCAGAACAAGACCAACGAAGATATGGAGCTTGATTTGGAGCTGGAGTTGGATGCAGGGACCCCGAGATTTCATTCCACCTGCTTACGTGCGCCATTAATTTTCAATAATTTTCAAGTTCGGGTGGGTGAACATGCGGAACTGGGGAGAAGCAGTCACAACTTGGAACAAAGATATATATATATATAGATCTAATGTTTGAATGTTTGAAAGACATGTGGTTACGCAAAAGATACAATGCCGAAGTTCAGGGCAAAACTAGAAATGTCACGAGGCATGCACTTTTGATTGGGGGATATTGGAAGAGGATAGGATTTTGTCAATTTTCTGGCCACCTTCCAAGGCACGGGCCAACCGACACGCCATGGTTCGCATTTGAGTGCCGCAGAAGTCTTCTTTTCCATGCCATCACGGTTGAATCCACGGCAACCTCTGGGTGTTTCGGGGTTGTTTGATGCTGATCTGACAATTACATAGTATCTGGCAATAATACCCATAATGATATGTAATGAAGATTAAATGAAATGGGGAACTGCAACATAGCATTTGACAAACGATGTGTCATTGTAAGCAAAACATACGGCAAGTTTGTTGGGCTAAATGCGCTCGAGGTCGAAAATGATAAGTTCGAAGGCTTGGTTTAAGCAGAACCTTGTTTCTTTGAGTTTTCAGAGCCTGTTGGTTCCAAACGGAAACCACGGCGCAAACGGGCGTCCAAGCAAGGACGCTTATGGCCACGTGGCTGACAATGCCTCGCCACGGCAAGCCTTCACAAAGGCTTTGTATCACAAGAAGTGACCTCTGTGTGAATCCAGAGATTTGAGGCTACTGTCAAACTCTGTCAATTCAGTATAGATTATTTTTATTTCTTTTTGCTTTTTGACTGAGGGTTCACAGAGTTGCTTTTATCTTAGGGGCCCGTGTTCCAATGTCTCTATGGGTTGGAACCGCCAGGCTGGGAAATTGATACACCATCCCCATGAATGTAGGATTTCATGCAGGTCTTGGCCCCTGCAGCATAACATCGGACATGAAGGAGCCAAGAACAAACAGGTTGCAGCCTGCAACTTGCAGGGATGGAGCGTTCCATTTCCCCCTGCCAGCTAGACAAGAAATTCAATCATATTTCTCGTTGCCACCTGAGCAAAGAGATTCCAGTGAAATTTATGTTCATTCAAAATTGAAAAAAAATAGCGGCGGACTTCACAAACTCCTACCCACGCCCCGAGCTACCATATATATATATATATACATGAATATTGGAAAATACCCTTAGTTAGATTATTGATGCCTGAAGACCATACCTTCGTAAAATTAGATATTATAAATAAGATATTGTAATTATATTTAAATTTTATTTTGGGAATTATATTATATTATGGAATCGAATAAAAATAAATATATATATACATATTAAAATTTTATTAAGTATATTACTACTAATATTGCGATCTGGCCGTACACAGAGCGCGCGCGCGAGAAAATTTTTCCGAGGCCAATTTTCCCAGAAATCTGCCACTTTTTTGGGAAAATTGGCGGATACAAACTTAGTCTGCGCAAATACAAACTAAGTCTGTGCTTCCTGAGCCCCCTGCTCGGAGGTCGAAAATTTACTACTTTTTTGGGAAAATCCGATTTTGATTTTCCCAAAAAAGTGATGATTTTTTGGGAAAATGTCTCTTCTCCCCAGTCAGTGTCCCACTAAGCAAATGCAGACCGGTCGGTCAGGGTCGGTCGGGGGTTCGATTCCCCCCTGGTCCACAGTCGCTTGGTAGGTCATTCAGTTGAGTTTGAACATGTGTCTTCTGAATTTAGCGCGCGCGGAGTTTCCCGAGCCCGGTTTTCCCCAAAATCTGCCACAATTTTGAGACTTTCACCCCGGGCCCAATTTTCCCAAAAATCTGCCACAATTTTGGGACTTTCACGATTACAAACTCAGTCTGCTCCTCCTGCGCAGAGGTCGAAAATTTATCACTACTTTTTTGGGAACTTTCGTTTTGCGTTTCCGTTATGTTGAATTTACCGCATGCGTCTACGGCTCTTTTGAATTCTGTGTAGCACAACGTTGCTTGGCGCAGCAAGCCCCAAAACGTCATGCCCACAGATATTTCAAGCCTGCTGGTCGTGCCGCTGACTTTGCATTGGAAAGGTCGCTGATATAGGCTCGCCATGCTAGCGGAATGAAGTTGCACAAGCAAACCAGTCGCATATTTTCATATGGCTACACATTTAGTCATGTTGATCCTGTGGAAGTGCCCTTGGTGTAGACCGCATGGCTGTTCACTGTTGCCCCCCAAGAAGTGCAAGCCGCAATGTGTAACGGCATGTCTTCAATTTATTGCTACTAATTCCAAAATTACGATCTGGCTGTACAATAACCACTTCGGGCAGCAGCTTTCAGTAGCGACTTTCGCGAGCAGCTTTCGGAAGCCGCTTTGCAGAATAGCTTTGGGGAGCCATTTCGGGGAATAGGTTTGAAGAGTCGCAGCTTTGGGGGAATAGTTTTGGGGAGCAGCTTTTGGTAGCAACTTTGGGGCGCAGCTTTCGGGAGCGGCTTTGCAATGCAGAATGGCTTTGGGGGGCCGTTTTGGTGAACAGGTTTGTAGAACCGCACCTTTGGGGCAACAGCTTTGGAGAACAGCTTTGGGGCACAACTTTGGGGAGCAGCGCCGGGGAACAGCTTTGGGGAGCAGCTTTAGGGAGCAGCTTTGAGGAGCAGCTTTGCAGGGCAGCCTTGAAGAACCGCAGCTTTGTGGAGCACCTTTGGGGAGTATACTTTAGAACGCAACTTTGGGGAGCAGCTTTCGGCAGCAACTTTGGGGAGCAGCTTTCGGGAACCGCTTTGGAGAATAGCTTTGGGGAACGCTTTGGGGAACAGGTTTGAAGCATAGCCGCTTTGGGGCAACCGCTTTGCAGAGGTGCTTTGGGGAATAGCTTTGGGAAGCAGCTTCGGGGAACCGCTTTGGGGAGCAACTTTGGCAAGCTTTCCGGAACAGCTTTCAGGAACAATTGCGTTGAAGAGCAGCAGCTTTGGGAGCAGCTTTCGGGGGCAGCTTTACAACTCCGGGGAGCAGCTTTCAGTAGCAACTTTCGGGAGCAGCTTTCTGGAGCCGCCTGAAGAATCGCAGCTTTGGGGCAATAGTTTTGGACAGCAGCTTTGGGCAGCAGCCTTTGGTAGCAACTTTGGGGCGCAGCTTTCGGGAGCGGCTTTGCAGAATGGCTTTGGGGAGCCGTTTTGGTGAACAGGCGTGCAGAATCGCAGCTTTGGGGTAACAGCTTTGGAGAACAGCTTTGGGGCACAACTTTGGGGAGCAGCGCCGGGGAACAGCTTTGGGGAGCAGCTTTGGGGAGCAGCTTTGGACAGCTTTCCGGACCAGCTTTGGGTCAGCTTCGGGCAGCAGCTTTCGAGTTTTGGGGAGCTTCTTTGGGATGCGGCTTTTGGTAGTAACTTTGAAGAGCAGCTTTGGGGAGCAACTGTGGGGAGCAACTTTGCGGCTTTGCAGAGCATTGACGAACAGTTGCTTTGAAGAATGACAGCTTTGGGGAGTAGCTTTAGAAAGCAACCTTGGGAAGCCGCTTTCGGAAACAACTTTCGGGGGCAGGCTTAGCAGCTGTTCGGAGCAGCTTTCGATAACAAGTTTGGGGAACGGCTTTGGGGAACAGCTTTGTGGAGCAGGTTTGGGGAACAGCTTTGGGGAGCCGGAGCAGCTTTGAACAGCAGCTTTGAATGGGGAGCACCTTTGTGGAGCACCTTTGGGGAGCACCTTTGGGGAGCATACTTTAGAACGCAACTTTGGGGGGAGCAGCTTTCAGCAACTTTGGGGAGCAGTTTTCGGGAACGCTTTGGGGAATAGGTTTGAAGCATAGCCGCTTTGGGGCAACCGCTTTGCAGAGGTGCTTTGGGGAATAGCTTTGGGAAGCAACTTCGGAGAACCGCTTTAGGGAGCAACTTTGGCAAACTTTCCGGAGGAACAATTATTTTGAAGAACAGTATTTTTGGGAAGCATCTTTTGGGGGTACTCTAAGTTGTGGAAGTTAAGGCTTTTAATGAAATATATGTCTTAGGTGGGGGAGAAATTTCTGGAAGTTGGTGCGGTGTTGTGTCTAATTGGTATTTAGTATATTTGTTTTTTCTCCAATTGATAATTTACCATGATTTTTTTTATGGATATTATGTAGGTGGTTACAACTAATATTTTATATTTTGAAAATTTTAGCAGTGAAATTTGTATATTCTTGTTGATTTTGGATAATTAGGAAGGTGGTGATGATATATTGGATTTATGTTGTTTTTGTTTTGTTTCCTTTGAAGTTATTTTAGGTCGATATACCGTGGGGAAATTATTTTAATTCTTGAATTCTATTATTTTGAAAAAATGTGAAAATATGTGGCTACCAAAAAAATTAATAAGAAATTTTGGGGTAAATAATTTTTTAAAATTTAATTTCGGATTTCGTTTTAATTTTATTCGTATTTTATTCGGATTTCGTTAAAATTATAGCTAATTAAAACTACTAAACCCGGAGAGATTTTGACTTACCCTTAAAAATGTAATTTAGTGGGGGATGGGATAGGTTAGGTAAAAAATATATATATACCATTAAAAACAAAGTTAGAATGCGGTTTTGGCTTCGCGTAATGGTGGCCCGTTTGCCCCCCCCCCCCAACGGCAGTCGCATTCTAACTGAGGAAACATCTGTAAATATGCAGAAACACAGTTAGAATGCGGCACCAAAATTGGTAAGAAAATCTAAATTTTGACTGGTATTTTACAGGCGAAATACAGTTAGAATGTCTCCTCCTTTTCTTCTATATTGTCCCTTGCCCTTCCTTTTCTTCTATGTCTTTTTCATTGATCTATATCTGCTGTAGTTTCCGGGGGGCATTCTATCTGTTGTTTGTCCACTGTAGCCAAATTTCTAACCTGCAGGGAACCTGAAGTGTTCTTGTTTCTTTTCCAACCTTATCTTCTTCCCTTTTCTCCTTCTTTTCTTCTATATTGTTCCTTACCCTTCCTTTTCTTCTATGTCTTTTTCATTGATCTATATCTGCTGTAGCTTCCGGGGGGCATTCTATCTGTTGTTTGTCCACTGTAGCCATATATTTCTGACCCGCAGGGAACCTGGAGTGCCCTTGTCTCTTTTCCGACCTTATCCTCTTCCCTTTTCTCCTCCTGTTCTTCTATATTGCTCTTTACTCTTCCTTCTCTTCTATGTCTTTTTCATTGACCTATATCTGCTGTAGTTTCCGGGGAGGCATTCTATCCGTTGTTTTCCCCACTGTAGCCATATGTTTCTGACCCGCAGGGAATCTGGAATGCCCTTGTCTCTTTTCCGACCTTATCCTCTTCCCTTTTCTCCTTCTTTTCTTCTATATTG